CAAGAACGAAAGGTCGGTGACCTAAAGACGTTTCCTCAAGCGCAAAGCTACTGCAGCCCAGCTGCATATTTTGTCTTCTGTACGCTCCACAATCAACCACTGAGCTTGAATTCAACTCCACTTTCTGCAGTAACCATGTCTGTTGTACAAAACATACTTTCACAGGAAGTCTTCTTCCGTGCACCAAAAGAAGTAGCTCAACTCTAGCACTTATAAAAAGCATGGTATTCGCGACCGGTTTGCTCGAAGAAATTTATGGTGAGAAGACAAAGTGTTTTTTGACGAGAGCGGTCGCGTGGCTTTCCGAGTTTTGAGCAAACATCTCCGCCCTCTTCCGGCCACATAAAATCTCGCCGTTTTCCAAAGAAGATGCACTCACTGCGCTCACGACTAGAAAGCTTCTTGTATTATAAGAGATAGTAAAAAACGTACATAAAGTACAAACTAAGTGTCACTAAACCTACGATACGTACTCGTAGAATAGCCAAGTTAGCTAGGCACCTAGAAGAAGCACTCGTTTTCTCTTCTGGTAGAAACGCACGAAACTTATATCAGTGCGTTTTGTAAGCCCGGACTGCTAAGTTAGAGCTACCTGCAAGTCCGTTTTACATCGCAGTTTTGAAGGGGGTTGCATGGATGTGGAGGTCTCGGTGTGAGTCGCATTTGTTTGAAGACCATAAGAAACACTCCTATCACTGTGAAGATATATAACAAGGATACAATGATCAAAACTTGCTAAGCAGTAAGAAAAATTCGACGAAGCAAATATAGCAAAAAAAATAGTTTAAATCGAGGATATCCATGCAGCAATGTATGTAGCAAACGATAAACAAATTCAACCACCCCCTACTGCATTCAAAATCAAGCCTAGTCAAAGGCATAATTCGAATGCGTTGTTGAAAAAATATGATCGTGATCTTCACTTAGTGATTAGATTAAAAACCAATAACCATAATTCGTTTAGGACGTCAAAACAGGTGCAGTGTGAAGGGATCCAGCGAGAACGATGCGGCTAGCATTCTATTATTTTGATCAGAAAATGTCTGGCGCGGTGAGTAATATAGATCCAGAAATGTCACCAGTCGTCGCTGAGATCGCTAAACCAGTGTCATCGATTATCCAGCCCGTTGAGGCCTCAAAACGTGAAGGTGTCAGAACTGCTCAAAGCTGAATGTCGAACCGGCGATCGCACATGCCTCTGATATGAGGAGGAGCAAATTTCGAATATTGAAGTAATTGATTCCAACACCGTATAATTTTTCTCGAGCCCAAGCTACTGATATACTAAAGATGACCGTCATAGTACCTTCAGGCTAAAAATGTACTACATACAGTCCATCTATCAAGCCAAACCATGATGCTTATGCGCTCCAACATGGTGAAAAACATGGCGCAATCAATTCAGCAAAAGTAAACAAGCAACAGAGAATATGTCATTTATTCATTTTAAGTAAAGTTGCTGTTGTCCAACATGAAGCGATACGTTAGGCGCTGGTTTCGTCTTTGCTCGGCAATGAGGAAGATTTGGTTTATTCTCCGGCTAACCTTTAAATTTCTTGCTAAATTTATGGTGACTACGGCTTACGTTGATACCCATTCAATGATGAGAGAGGCCTATGGTAAGGCTAATTTGACAAGTTTGACATAAATTTTCCAACGAAGGTTTCATGCAACATTATGAGAAAGTGTGTGCTGTTCTCCCGACTCAGCGCAATCAAAAGGAAGCAGAATGTCAGCGGGCGTGGTTCAAAGTGCACAAGGAATGGAAGCATGAGTACAAACCAACTCGTGCCTCCAAAAGAGAAGACAAAGATCATATCAACAACTGCTTCTCTGCGTGTTTAATTCACGATTACCTCGATTGAGTGACTTCAATTTCACGACTTTTGAATATAGATTTTTATTATGCCGCCCAGGACAGCGCCGATAAAGCTGACGACGGAGAAAAAAATGTCTGATTTTCCACACACTGCTCTCAGCTATCGCAAGCCTAGTCCACCAGAAACTTTACCACCAACTGCCTCGATTCCACCGCTTTGGAGAACCGATGCTATGCCGACTGAGGTTTTCCCAGAGTGGACAGATCCCACAACGCTCTGTGCGTCAACAAACATTTCTAATATACCAGAGAGTAGTGATTAGATCATTTACCTTTTGTTATAGCTGCAGAACATTGGTGCACATTGGAACAGCCATTCAACGACTTTTTGACGCCAAAAAGCGTGCTTGTGCCCGATGAGGTGTGTCCTACCAGTGCCCACAAATGTTTACCGGTTGACGCACTCTGCTTATTTGTAAACTAAGGCAAAAGATCTAACGGATACAATCACATGGAAGCGGCCGTCTGAATTTTTGCCTATGATTACGCAAGAGTATTCTTCACCACAGCCAGAGTCGAAAATTGCTTTAAAGAAAAGCACTGTTTTTGGTACAGAAAATGGAGGCTTTGGCAACTTATCTTCTCAAAAGAAAACTCACGTACAGCATATACAACAGCTATTTCACTTTTTGATCTCTGTTTGATTTTGCTCGTTGTTTCGATCTGACAGATCTGCGTTTATAAAAGTAACAAATCGAGTGGCTTATCAAACAGCTCTTCGACTTTGCCACCAACCGCAATTTTGCAGCAACACGACCACGTGCTGCGCATTCCCCGAGACTTCCAGAGACGTTGGAGTGCCGAGCAACTCGAGACTTGGGAAGCATGGGCAAAAGAAGAGGAACGCATAAAGCAAGACCTGCAACATCGTGAGCTCGTGTACATGAGTTTTGAAGATGCTATTGCATACATTGTGAATGAGCGACCGACAAATGGGGATTTTGATTCCGATGACTTAGTAGATGATGGCATAGAAGATGAAATTCTGTTACCAAGCATGAATTTGAGTTATACAATTTCTCCTTGGGGAATGGCGCCTCCTCCAAGAATGGAAATCACCCCAAACAGTGTGTATAAGCCTGAAATCCCTCGTGGAGACATTATCCACTCCGCCATGGCATCCTATTTTCGAATTGTCGAGCAGTTGTACCATTCGAGCAACAGACGCAATCACGATGGTATAACTTTTTCAGTACCATTTTTGTGGCAAGCTATCTACCCCCAAGACAGTGATGGACAACCAGTATACAATCCAGGGGGGAAATACAGTGTCAAATTATTTGTCCTTGGACGCTGGCGCCGCGTTGATATCGACGACAAGTTACCATTGGACTCTAACGGAAACTATATATACCTTTCAAGCTCATTAAAGTATGAGCTCTGGCCTTGTCTATTGGTGAAAGCTTTGTATACAGCGATGTATATGCTGCATTCTACTCTTGTAAATCAAGAAGTTCGGCACCAACAAAACATGTGCCAGGACGTAATTCAGACCATGTTAGCGCTCACTAGCTGGAAGGTCTCTCGATGGGAGCATATTGAAAATGACATTAGTAATGAGAACGTGTTTCACCAAGTTCTTGAGGTAGGTTTTGTTGGTGATTTTCTAGATGTAGTATGTAAAGCAAGTATTTTCATACAGTACGTACCAAGCTCGCGACAATCCAGGCAAGCTGAAGGAAATAGCGAGGGAATTAGCGCAAGTGAGGGGTTAGCGGACGGGACAACAGATGATTCTCAATCTGTGACCCTGAAGAAGCCATCAACTGAAAACAACCCCAAGGTATTTGTGCTTTGTTATTTTGATTAAAATATGAATGTTGCAATGACATTGTTGCTAGCCTTGCGCTGCTATCTGCTATGTTGGTGTCAATAAAATCGCTCACATGGCTCCTGGTGAGCTGGTTTTAGTGACGGATGTTGTCGGGGACTTCGGTAGCACAATATTCAAGGTTGTTCGACAAGGCGCTCCGGTTACCATATCAGAGGAATCGACTGGATATAGCGAGCTGATCGTCTTGTTGATTCACCCACCGCTCCAGTTCTCTGATACAGTTGTTCGCGAATGGAAGCCGAATGCAGAATTTGAACAATCCGATAATTTGAGTGCAACACTTGTGCCATTTGAAGCTCCGCGTGTGCAATTTGTGGTGATTACAGTGCAAGATCCAATTTCGAAACATCTTTCGAAACAGCTTTCTGGAAGCGTTTCTAGTGGTCTAGTGCAGAAACGAGTCAATTTTGTAGCCTCTTTGACTTCTATCCAGCCACCAGAAGAATTAAATCGGAGAAAGGATCATATGTGCAACTCTTTGGCGTACATGGCCAACCATCGCAGCATCGATGCCAACGACAGTGTCATTCTGATTGAAATGAAGGACGAAATGACTTTATCGACGTCTTCACCACCATCAATCATCACACTTGACTCAACCTTCTCCAGATTTATTAGTATTTCGCCAGAGGATCAAGACAAAATTGTGTACCGCTTGTACCTGCAACAGACTTTGCGATATGGCTACAGCATTGAAGTCGAATCGGATCACAACATTGTACTTCAAGATGCTCCAACGTACTGGCGCAGCCTATCTAAGCTCCATGTGATGGAATGCGACGGGCAATACCCAGTCATGTTGCCAAACACATGGAATATCTTGCTCAAATATAGCTTCGAGCTTCTTTCATCAACCCAGAAAGACGAAGACATGCCACCATCATCACCTGATCTTAATATTGATTTTCATCTCTCGGAAGATCTGCTTAAAAACTTTTCGCATGTTACAATTGTAAATGATCGTACAGGTAAAACCGAAGAAATCAGTACCCTCTGTACAAAGATCACGCTTCCCAGTGCCTTTGATTGCGCAACGTGTGACGGAATTAATCGTCTAGCCTACACAATAGTTGTTGATTGCGTTCCTGGAAATTTTCATGTTCGTGAGGGCAAATGGAACCTCACACTCGCTAGTGAATGGAAATTTAGTAAGCCACTAACCCATAACATGAAAGTGACCTCATTTGAAGGAGTTTACGAGCCAAATAGCTCATTACTGTGTTTTCGGGATGTGATCGTGGCGCCGAAGACATCGATCTGGACAAGTTTTCAGTTTCAGTTTCAAAGTGATGCTGGTCCCTTAGACAATCTTGTCCCTCAGCTTACTATCTTCGATGCTGCCACCAACCAGCCTTTGCAAATCAGAGAAATTACTTCCAGGGGGGAAACTCGCGTACTTCAGCTCCCATTTGTCTCTGCAATTGAGAACGGGCAGGCACCATCGGGAAAAAGCTATATAATTCAAGGAAGCATTGATCAAGCCAGCAGCGTCGTACCAAACGTGCTTTGGTCCCTTTGTCCATTTCGTAGTACCTTTGATTCTATCGTACCAAAAGAACGCACACCCGCGTCGGTGGACGAAAATGCACATTCCGAATTTTCGTTGAATATTTTACCACTTGATTTGTGTCGCACTTCAAGCGGCATTAAATGGAAACTTACCTGTTGGAGCACGGAGGAAGTGAAGCTTCAGCAAGACAATGCAACAGAGCTCAAATTTAAAATTGTTCGTGCTTCTTGGGCAGAAAAGGCGTCGAATCGTACCACAAACGGGGCTGTGTCACGACTACTTTATTTAGGGAAGCTAGAGGACGCCAAGGCTGTGATTACGCGAGACAAAATGACGGATGAGCAAATCGTTGTGATGAGGAGCCGCTTTGAGTGGATTCAAGCGGCAAAGGCGAACGTGGTACTAAAAACAGGTGCGTCTGAAACAAATCTAAAGGAAATTAAAGTTGAGACGAAAGAACAAGTGTGGGAAGAGGATTTTACTGAACGCAAGCGACTTCTGCGCGAACAAATGGACGCTGTCGACGCGGACAAAGATCAGCGTCTTGTTTCTCGCTTACTGGATAAAGAGGTTTGTGCAAATGAGACGAAATACCTAATTCAATCTGTGATCGACAGGCGTGCTTCATCAACTAAAAAGCAGCAAAAGCTCACGCAACAACTTGCACTTATGCAGACTCTGATAGTATAATGAAGTGTTTTGTTTAATGCGAAGCCATGAGATCTCAATATTCACCTGTGAACTTCGTTATTTCCTCAACTTTCTCCCCAATTTAATTTCTAGAGAGGCGCTCACTCTACTACATCACTTAAATTTTCCAATATGCAATGGGATTATGTTCTCGCTCGCGTCATCATCATTTGCCGCCGTAACGAATTTTGTGATCTTCATCCCATCCGCCGTCGCTGAGAATTTTAAATCGCGAGATCAATTTCTTTTTTTGTACTTACTGCATTTGCATTTTGCTCTTCAAAAGTTGTAATTTCATCTTTTCACTTGGTAACGGGGGTTAGGCAATTTGCGCATTTCGCAATTTTTGAAGTGGCCGTTCTTCATTTATGCGGCCTTGGACTTTTGTCCATTATTTCACTTGTCTTCAATCATGTTAGTTTCTATCACTTCATTATCCATCATATCTGCCCATTCAGTCGTCGAACAACCGAGTCTCTTTACCGCTCGAGTCGCCGCGGTTATAAACGTGTAATTCTTTCTCTTCGTTACAAATACATTCCTCGGTCTCCTTCGCGATTCCTTCCTCCTTCAGCTCACTTCGCTGCTGTCATTACCTTCCAGTCCAATCATGGGTCCACATGAGTCCACTTCATGAAAACAACCTCATGACTAATTTAACAAGCCATTAACAGCAACACTGCAAAGCCAAGAAGGCAAGAACTAAAATGGTGCTGTTTTGGTCATCGCTCCACCAACCCGCTCATCGAACGACGTATTTGGGATGGATCCGAGCATGGCAGAAGACATACCCGCGTAATGGGCAGCTACGGCTTGTTGTTCAGCCGCGCGCTTTCGCTCAGCACGAGCTCTCGCTGCGCTGGTGTTAGCATTTACCGTAATGACTGGGGGGGGAGTCGTGCTAACAGTTCCTGGTGGTTGTGCAGGGTGGCGTTCGAAATAGTGTTTAGTACACATATTATCAATGCGACCAGTTTTGGAGCACTCTGCAATGATACATTTCTTATCAGCACCATGAGTAACACAATATCCAGCACGTCGATCTGTCTTATTGCACCCTTCAACCATACAACGACGACCACCACCGTGTGCACGACACAATCCGCGTCCTTGGGAGCTTTTTGTACAATTTGGAACTGTGCAGCGACTACCCCCACCGTGCAGCTTGCATAATCCACGTGACTGAGCTGAGTTATCACACCCGTCATGTTGGCAACGCTTACCACCTCCGTGACTGATGCAAAAACCACCTCCTTGGTCGCTTAGTCCACAACCAGTAAACCCACAGCGACGACCTCCTCCGTGGCCTTTGCATAAACCACGCGAACGAACTGTGCGATCACATCCTGGCACCGAGCAGTCTTTCAATTTCTTGTTTTTGCGTATACGTCCGCTACTACTGGATCCCGAGCGAGTCGAAGTCACACTGCGTTTCCCACCACTCAATGAAGTTGGGCCGACATGGGTATCACTGATGCGCGTGTCAATCGGAGGTGGCCGTCCTCCACTATTTACTTGCAAGATGTTAATATTTGTCATTTGCGACGGACCCAATGAATGGTGCGATATAGAAACCGAATTGCTGCCGGTGTTCGTGTTGGTGAGGGAATTACCACTATTTATCGGCAATTCTCCTATCGAATTCTGTGCTATCGTGATGTTGTCTCCTGCAAGACCATAGCCAGTGCCACTGGCATTTTGCGAAAGTCCTGTGATCGTGTTTGATACCTAAGATTGCATACGAATATCAAGTACATGAAATATAGAGTAAACCTAAAACCTTTCGTACCTGTGCACATATTGGGCACGTTGTGAGTCCTCCCCATGAGTGCAAGCATTGACCATGGAAGCGATGACCACAATGATCTGCGATCCTGTCACTATGAGCGCCACTGCACAAACCGCAAGTGTCTTCGCCACTTGTGCTAAGTTGCGATGATGGCGGGGCTAATGATGGTGGGTACAATACATTTGCGTTGACAGATGTAGAAGCTGAGCCGTCGGAAGACAGGCCCTCCATTGACATGGAGGTTGTCGAGCTCGCTACATCACCGTACAACGACGTAGAATGCGTCAATTCATGTGACTTAGCGGATTGTTGTTGCATATACGACACGTGGCTACCATTAGATGAAGATCCTGTCGAAATATCCACATCTCCGTCTTTTAGCCGCGTCGTTAAGGAAGGACCCGAAGCATTTGTACTGAACTGGGGGATGCGCGATCCAGCACTAAACATTCCCCCAATACTGCTGTTCATGCTCCTCCCCATACTAGAAGATTCATTTCCATTTGCCTCATAACTGGAATTGGAAGAGCCGAGGTTCAGCGAATTATGCTGTCGCGTCGACTCTTGCGTGCGTTGCTGTTGCTGCACCTGTTGCTGCGAGAAATATGCCGTGTTGCCAAACAAGTTTGACCGCTGATACATCGACTGTTGTGTATTGCTCGGAGTCGTTTTTATCTGAACCACATTTCCAGGACGCTCAACTCCATGCACGTAGCCACCACTGGAGCTTAAAAACGAATCATTTGGCATAACATTATAGGACTGACGATATTTGCGATGACCACCGTCTTTCAATCCAATATTGACTGGTTCATGAGGCATTGCATCAGTAGATGCCTGTGCGTTCGTCGCAGATGTTACCAACATGCCCAAAGGATTTGCCTCAACCTGATTGTAACCGCCATGATATTGTTGGTGCTGTTGCGTAGGTTGTTGCTGTTGCTGTTGTTGATGCTGGTGGTGCTGTTGGTGTTGTTGGTAATCTCCAGAGGGGCCGTAATTTTGCGTGTAAGACGGATACCCAAATGGTGCAATATACGACTGTTGTTGAGGTGGTGGTTGTGGTGAATAATGTTGATCGGCATAATCGAACTTGCCTCCGTTGTGACCAGTTGATCGATTGTTATGTGGGCTTTTGTGTAACGAATAGTTTGGTGGCGCGTAGGGTCCAGCGTGGTAGTCATTCACCTGTTGCAACTGATGCGAATGTGACTGGTATTTCGTTGTACTCAGATTCACGCTGCCCCGATGAGCTCCTTGAAAACTGCAAAGCAAAGAACATGAGAAAAATAGAATTAGCCAGCAGTAATAGTCGCGCGATGTGAGCCCCCACTCCTCCTGTTCGAGACGCTCCCCCAGTCGCCGTTATCGCATATAATGCCATCACGAGACGGGGACTGGGGTGAGGGGTGTCTATAGACGAAAAGGGTCTTGCCGCTAGAAAATAGAGGGAAAGGGGGACTGCACGTCTTGTCGCTTCAACATAAAAAGCAAAAAAGTGTACATAGAGTTCAGTCTCCAACCTTTTCGCTCGATCCGCGGCGGCAAGATTAAAAACATTGGCATTCATGCTGCCCGTAGTAGAAAAAGTGGCGTATGGCATAGCCATACCGCGTGATTGAGACGATACCGGTGGTGGCTGGGGGGCCGGTTGGTTGGGCGTGAGCTCATTCATTAGAGTCGCTCCCGCTTAGGAGGCGACCACGAAAGGGGGGGTGTCACGCGCGCTGGTGCGGTATTGCGTGGCTGCCTGTTTTCTCGGCTGGCTTGGCGGCCACTTTGGCTCCGGCCGTTGGTGGGACTATTAGTTTGCGAGGATTGGCTTTGTGGATTTCTGTGGGGGCTGTCTGCTGCGGTCTCTCGGGTGGCCGCGCGGGAGGGATCGGAAGGTTGCGGGCGGGATGCTGGCTGAT